ATAATATATAAAAATATTATCATTTCATGATTAGAAGTGAGACAAACAAATAGAAAAAAAGAATGTGAAGAGTTTTTTTTATGTTAATGTTCCTACATTAATAAAAAAATAATTATTTATAATAAATTAAGTAATTTTTTTTTACAATACAATAATTATATATATATATATATATATATATATATATTAATTATTTATATTGTTTATGTTAAGTAGATACTTGAGTATGCGATTTAAAAAAGAATTATCTTCTTTCTTTTTTAGTCTGTTTAAAAACGAATGACTTCTCTTTCTTTTTTTGGTAACATTTTAATTTCAGTTTTTCACGTGGCATGTTTAAATCCACAAGAATAAAGGGCAATTTTGTACATTTGACATAACTTTAATTTAGGATCACAAGATTCAAAAGTCTTCTTTATTTACTTAAACTTCGTGTCAAGTCAAACTAGATCATTCTTTGTGAAACGGAGGGAGTAACTAATTATTATTATATTGATTAGTGAATTTTCATAAAATTATGTGTATTTTAAAATTTATAACCACAAACATTTATTTATAAAAAGAACATAGAGATATTTGATTTATCAATGTGATATCTTGTTTTTTACCTATGATTTATTCATTTGATAAGATTATATAAGAATGATTTTTTTTTTATAGTTTTCACAACTTGTGAAAAAAATATAATTTGAGAAATTCAAATTGCATTTCTTAACAAAATTTCAACTTTAAACCAATCTACTGTCAAATAATGTTCAAATAGGCCTATATTAGATATAGCACATGTGTTCGTACATATGCTTTTATCACTTACAATAAAAATAATAATATATCTAATGTAATTTCATAAATGAAATTTAAAGAGGATAAAGTATAAGTAGACTTTGTTCTTACAAATCTTTAAAAAAAATTGGCTTTAGTAATGCTTGTCAATGCAATTTTTTTAAAGAGGAAGTAAACTATTGAAGTAAAGCAGACATAAATAATATTTAAAAATTCATTATATAGCATTTAGAAAAAGAAACAATAACAACAATAAAATAAAGTGATACTTAAATAAAGCATAGAAATAAGAAACAATGACAACAACAAAATAAAGTGATACTTCAAGCAAAGAAACAACTGACATTAATTGAAATTGAAAACAAGAAACTACGAGACAAGTACTAACGTTAATGGTGTGTATAGAGAAATATGTACAGGGCACTAATACTATTCATAGTAAATTGAGATAACACTCAACTCTCTTCTTCCTCTTATTTTAATTTTTGACTTTCACTTTTTTTCATCTAAGGTCATACATGTTTTTGATAAATTAAAGATGTGTATGTCCTATTTAATCATTTCTCTTTAATACTTTTTTTGACCTACGTCTATCTTTCTTTAAACCTACCACTGTCATTCTGTGCATTCTCTTTTTCATGTCTGAACTCTGAACTATTACTTAATCATAATTATAAAAATAACTTAATCATTATTAATTAATATATATGTTCACTATATTAAATCAATTACATGATAAATTATATCTACTGTAAACACTTTGTACGAATAAATATTTATTATCATATATAGTTAAGGAAGTGAGAGTTATAACTGTTGTTTTATGAGTGTTAAGCATATAATATGTCACAAGTTAATTTTTCGAATAATCAATTTAGAAATAGGAATTGTAATTTTTATACCAAAAGCATCTATTAAAGAAATTAATTAAAGTACATCTTCTCCGAAACTTCCTCCTTGTTTTTTTATTTTTTGTGGTTAGTTTGTTTTGTATTTTATTCTTTATAGATAAATTTATTTTATGGAAGTTTTTTTTTTTTTCAAAAGTAGAATTAATAACTTTTTTTTTATAAGAAGGCAGAAAGTGGTTTGTGCACCCCAATTTAGATGGTTTGCTGCAAATTCAATTGTTTTAGAAATTTTCTACCAAATAATATTAATGTTTAACTCTTCATCACAATTTCCATTAGTCAAGCTTTTGAGAAGTAAAAAATATTTATTTTCTTAAGAAAAGTATTTATTTTATAGAATTGAGATATTTGAAGCCCATTTGTATAGGCTAAAAAAAATAGCTTTTAAATAAAATAAAAAAGTTAAACTTTAAATGACTTGTTAAGTCAAAAAAATAAAAAGTAGTGGAGTATTGCATTTAGTTTTTAACTTATTTTAAGTCATTTTTAACTTATGTTAAGTTATTTTTAACTTTGCCAAACACACTCAAAAACTAAAAATATCTTTAAAATAGGGTTTAAGCCTATCCAAATAGGATTTTAGTTTTTTTTTTTAAAAAGTGTTTGAATTGTAACGAGATTTTTTTAAAAAATTGAAAAGAGTAATTTGTTTTTTCAGTTCTTATATCGATAAATGTTTAAGAATTGATTAATTAAATTCAAATTATTATTCTTCAAAAAAGTTATTTCAAAAGCCAATTTTAAAAAAAAAAGATAATCAAAGTTTTAGAATTTTGGCGAAAGAGGTTATTATTAATATGTTTTGAGGGCGTTAATTTTTATTTTTTTTGTCCTTTCATTGCGTAATTGACGGTGCCGTCAGTTTCGCCGTTAGTGGCCCCGTTTCAGTAGTACAATTATGCACGTAAAGAATTTGCTGAATTTAGTATAAAGTTTTAATGAGATGGTGGTGGGGGTTGTAATCTACTGTATTTATTTTTTATTCGGTACAAAATACAATTATGAATTGCTTATTA